AATATTGTGTAGATGATTGTTATGAAGATTTTTTGTGAAGGGTTGAAGTGATTTTGAGTTCAATTGGTAGGTCAATTTGAGGATGTTTTTAGATTTGGTCAATTTGGGCATGTTGGCTAGACATGGGTCTAGGTTGGGCTAGCTTTGGGCTAAGTCCAAATTTAATGGTCCAAATGCTCAAGTGATATGTTGTGAATATTTTTATGAAGGGATAGAGTGGAAATTTTGGAGTTAAAGCCCTTAATTTGGTGAGATTTTGAGACATGGTCAATTTGGGGTAAATTTGGGGCTTTTTGGACTTAGGTTAAAATCAAATGAAATTGAGGCCTCACCAAGGCCAATTGAAGGTCAAGTTTGATGTATGTGGGTGTTATGAAGGTTTTATTAACAAAACATTGTGGCCAATTGAGTGGCCTATGGGTTCAATTTGGTGGAACCAAGTCATAAGGCCAAAATTGTGTTTTTGGTTTAGCTCAAAATTGGGTTCAAATCATGGACCAATTGAGCCTTGATTTGGTATAGATTGGTCACATCAAGGGTTAATTTGAGTTTAAAATTAAAATTGGGGTAAATTGAGACAAATTGGATAAGCATTTCAGGTAATTTGGGGAAAATATGGGCATTTAAAGGGAAATTTGGGGGTTTTGGTCCAAGTTGGGGGTTTTGATCAAAGATGGTCAAATTGGCCAAATTGGGTCATGTGATAGTTGAGAAAAATGAAATTGGGAATATTTTGAAGGTTTTCGAATTTTTTGAGATTTTTTAGAATTTTTAAAATTTTGGGGTAAGGAGGGGTATTTTGGTAATTTGGCCAATTTTGGGGATTTTGGGTAGTTTGGGTGTTTTCAAGGTGTTTGAAATGATTTTTTGAACCAAGTTGGGTTGTTTGTTTAGATTTGAAAATTTTGGCCAAATTTAGAGTCCCAAGGGTATCTAGGTAATTTGGGGGAGTTTAGGGACAAAAAGCTAAGTTGGGTATCTTGGTAGAGTTGGAGTGCCAACCACCATCAATAAGTCATGGACCAATGGAAATCCCATTTTAGGGCCTCTATGTAGTGGTCTTAGCCAAACCATAGCCTAGGGCTAATGGGTTTAGGGGACCACCTACAGGAGTCTCCCAAAAATATCAAGGGACCAGAGCCTAAAAGTTTAAGTTTAGGGTTGTGAGTGATTGTAAGAGTAAGTAATTGCAAGTGAGTGCCTTAGCCCTAGACCAACACCCATGGTCAACCCTAAGGTCAAGCAATCCTAAGGGTAGCTCATCTTGAGTTCCCCATAGTGACCCCACCTACTAAGTGCTAGAGGTTAGGACCAATATGTGGAACTTCAAGTTGAGTAGAGAATAGTTTGAAATTTCTAATGGTGAGGGTTAGTTTTCCAATAACAGTCAATAGGAAAGTCCGATGGCTAGAACTTAGGCTACTAAAGAGGGAAAACTAAACCTCAACCAAAAGTGAGGTCAACAACAGTCTCCTTTTCAATTTCAACATCTTTCGAAACAAAATTCTCCAATTCACTTCCACTACTTAGCAACATTAACATGCTCACTATTCTTCTCCTTAGAGCCTAAAAGTTTAAGTTTAGGGTTGTGAGTGATTGTAAGAGTAAGTAATTGCAAGTGAGTGCCTTAGCCCTAGACCAACACCCATGGTCAACCCTAAGGTCAAGCAATCCTAAGGGTAGCTCATCTTGAGTTCCCC